CACCTGATTGTACCTTAGCTGTAACAAGGGCCCAGTTTAGTCTGTATTACAGCCACGTTAGAATTTCTACCATGCAGCAGTAAATGTACCTACTCTACACATAGAGGTGGTGGCGGTGGCGCAATGATAGAGTTGTAGTTTCACTGATCTTTGACGCAGCACTGTTAAGCATTATTTGGCGTAATTAGTACTTGGATGGGTGGTCATTTAGATAAACTGTTTCTCTTATACATGTCATTAATGTCATCATGATGAATAGATACAATGTTATCATGTGTGTGTATGTATGTATATATATGTATGTGTGTGCGAGCGCGCGCGTGTGTGTGTGCGTGCGTGTGTGTATGTGTGTGTGTAGATAGAGATGCTCTATAGAGAGAAGCTATATCACGCATATAGATAGAGTAATTTCGGCGCACTAATGTGCGCATGCGAAAACAAAGGTGAGAGAGGAAAAGAGACAGGTACAAGACCCCCGGCCTGTAGCGCAGTCAGTGCTGGCTGGTAAACATACAGATGATATATATAGATATTTATGTGAATGGCAGCGTTCGCTCGCTCACTCGCTCGATTCATGGATTAACCCTCCATATAAAGCGAGCCTAAAGAAGCTTCACTTTAAGAACTTGGACCATTTCTATTTCTTTATTACTTAGTAGTATTTCACAAGCAAATTTGCATTAGTAACTAACATTTTTAACTTCCCTGTATCATCCTATTGCTTTTTTTTTATCTCTGGATTACTTAGAAATGCGGTTCTTTTATTTAATTTATATTTTTATATGCTGGAATTCAGGCCACAAGTTATTTGATATGTCTTTTTTTTAATTTTTTGGCCCTTGTTTAATTGTATAATAAGCTACTATTTTCATTACTTTGAGCTATTAAATTTTTATTAACTTATCGCATTAAATGCCTACTTATATACATTGCAGATAAGCTGTACCTTAAAGCGTTACTATTCAGTTTGTGGGTGTCAGGTGAACACGGAAATAGTTTAATTCGCTTTAATTTTATACAAAAGAGAATTTCTTTCTCTAAGTTTTTTTTCCCATTTGTGCTTTGTAGCCTTTTAAGCCAATTGTTTAATTTCTTTTTACTTTATTTACATAATTATTACAAAAAAGTGTAGCTTCTAACTTATTTTCTAGACAATAGATTCTTGTACATTAACTAGATTCATCAATAAATGTTAGAGCAAATTCGTCTCTATCAATACTAAACATACAATTTGGCCTTATTGAATTTGTACGAATAACTTCTAATATTTTCTTGGGCTTTTTCTTACAGTTTTCGAATAGATTGTATGTTATTTAACTTTAAAAATAGTTTAAACATTTTATGACAACATTCTATTATCTGTCTGTTACACCGTTAATGATTTTGTTTTCAATCAATTTCCTAGTTACTAATAAGTCAAACATCTCAAATGTATTATGCCTAATTTCCAACAATATTTGTTATTTTTAGTTAAATTATCATTATTTAGTTTATTACTGTTTTTTTATCAGTACAATAAGCAAATTTCTCATTAAGGTTACGAGAATTACTTACCGTATAAAATGACGAATTTTTAAGTTCTGCAATTGCTATAAGTTTGTCAATTTATTTCATGAACATCCTTTCTCTATTATCGAACACTACAATTTTATAATGTCTCACAATCTTAGAAGTCCTTAAAATATTTGTTCTTGTTTTTGGTATAAGATGAACTTTATTTTAACCAATATATAACTTATGCGACTCAATATTGAAACAAACTTGTATTTTTTTTTATTTTTCTAGCTAATACATTTTCTCCATCAGGCATATTGGCTTTTAACATTTGTTGGAATTAACAAGTTCACCAAAAAATTAACACGTGTTTACCATAACATAGTCAGTACTGCAACGGTCTAATAACCAATTTTATTTTGTAGCTATCACAGTTACTTTCTTGTCGTTACGTTGTTTGTTGAACATGTACTTCTGCTCTTAGTTACATCCATGATTTCTTACATGAGTCTGTATCCATTTTTATAACAATAAAGACTAAGCCTGATGAGGTTGACATTAAGACCAACGAAACATTGCTCAAACCAACATCTGGAGTCTTTGGAGTTTTTATTCTTACTCCTTGATAAGCTCTTACTGATCGTGTGCTTATGTACTTACCCTTAAAAAAACTGTCTTATTGCTTTTTATACTCAAGTTGCATTACTTTACGTTCCTGACAAGTCTTACTATTGTTATTGCTATTCTCAGTCTGCCATTTTCTCTAAATGTACTTCAGCCTATGCTGTACCCACTGTTTCTTCGTTTTTCTTGCTGTATGTATCTGCCTTTGGCTTTTTGTTGATATTCCGAATAGCCTTGATAATATTATTTTGCTTTGCTACTAAGACATCTATTTGATTACACTATTCGTTTATTTTTGTAAAAAATGTACTAAATTAATTTTTGCTTGTATTTTTAACACTTCACTTTGTCTGATCATTTTCTTTGGTTATTAATTTTACAAATTCCACAAGTTTTTGTTCTTCTGGCAAAAAATCTGTACAGTTTTTTATGTAGCTATAGTTTGCTGGAAATTCTTTGAACATGTATTCATTTTTTTGGCCTAAGTTATTTTTTCTTCAGCTGCCTGGAATTTTATTACTGTTTGTTTATATTTGGCAAAAAATCTTGTTATATTTTAATAGTTTTTCAACCTTACTTTTTTAATTACTGCATCTTCTTGTATTCTTTCTGGCCTTCTTTTACGTATTAAAGAATATCTAGTTAACACTCTACTTGCAATAATCACTTTTGTTTGGGAATCAGTTTCATTCCATATGACTTTTGTGATTTTTGTAGCTCTTTCTCTGTGAGTTTGTTGCTCACATTTTTTTATAGTATTTCTACATCATAGATCCGAGTTTACCACTACAGAATTTTTTTCGGTCAAATACAGGAATCACGATTTCATGAATTCTTGCTCAGTTAGCTATTTTGTTTTTTTACTTATTCGCTTGCCTACTTTAGACTTTTCTGTAACATTAGTACTCCTCTTGTTAGTTTTACGAAATTGTCTTTAACATTTAATATCTCTGCCTGCAATCACGTTTTCTTATTCACTTGTCATTTATACATTTCAGATGCAACACTTACTTTTTAGCACTGTACTGGTTTCTTAATGTGATACTTTTTTTAACCAATCAATTAGCATTTATACAATTTGTGATTGCTTGCACTTAATTACTTAAATTTTCGTTTCTTTAAATAATATTTTTATCTCAACCTTGTCTTTGGCTAATTCTTATGGACCACCGAAGCATCGTGTAAGAGATTAAAAAAAAATTTTAAGTTCTGCTACTATGTTAGGAATAATAAAAGGTAGTGTTGCAAGTGTCATGATAAGTATTGAGAAATACAGTTTTTGTCTATCATACATTATCACCTTAATTATAAGAGAGAGATTACTTACGACAAAAGCTAGGGCTTAATGGACTGCATTGCTTGGCACTGCGCATACGATTCGTAATTTGCATGTGTTTGTGCACTAAACCTAGACTAATCTAATTAATTGACATGAGAACAGTTGATACATTTTTTAACATATAGTCTTAACGTAAAAAATATTGAAATGATACGTCCAATGACAGTTAGTTTATAATTTAAAAAACGTCCAGTGGAGGTACTGTCAAATTTTGTATTTATTAAAAAATAAAACGACGCTTTGGCCGTTTATACAATGTCCCGGCCCTTATCAGATACAAAAATCTATGAGTAATAAAAATTATTTACAATACAAATTTTAATAAGTTTAATAAACGCAAATTAAGTGAGGTGTATAACATACCTCTGACTCTTACAAAAGGGATGTGAAACCGTAATGTAGTTCCTTGTGAGATGTACATGTACAGTTCATGTTTTCTTAATACTATAAATGAAAGGGGTACTCAAATCATGTACGTCAAGTTAATCTCCTTTCCTAACTGACTTAACGAGAGACTTATAACAATTTTTTAATTTTTTTGTATCTTGTTGTCTAATTATATTATTATTAAGATAATTCGTACTTAAAATTTCAAAAAAGGGCTTTTTCTTATTTTGTTATGTTTCAAAAATTTTTATTTTGTTAAAATGCAAGTTATTTGTAAATTTAATGGTATGTAGTGATAATACAAATGTTTTCTTTTTTTTCTCTATGTCTTTTTTATGTTCTGTCGTTTTAAATTTTACAGCTCTCGATGTTTGACCGACATAACAGCAGTTGCAATTCGCACATGGTATGTGGTAAACGACATTGCTTTTATCGAGTGGCTCTGTTACATCGTTTCCCTGTGAAAAAATCGAATTCAATTTGTTGTTTAAACTGTATACAAGATCATTGTGAAACGTCTTACAATAATATTTGATAGAACCGTGCAAGTAGGGAATACACGGTAATGATAAGATTAGGTAATAATTATTATTATTTGTGTTGCGAGTCTTAATCATATAAATGTTCTTTAAAGTATTTATTTTTTAGTTTAGAAATTAATCAAAAATTTATCAAGGATAGTTGTTAGCTAGTAGAAATTCTTTAAATAATTTTAAACTTTTGTTGTAAAATTGACTGTTTGCTAATTTAATGAAAAAATTTACTTATATGCAAATGATACCTATTTTATGTTGTGTTGGATGGTGGGAGAAAAAATTAGGGTATCCGCCTGAGTAAAAATATTGTTTATACCTTCCAGAGGCGGAATCGTAGGTTTTTGTTACAAAAAAAGCAAAATAAAACGCTCTATAACTTTATCCTTCTATAGAGTTTAAAGTACACATTATTAATATTGTGAAATGGAAATTGCTTCAAAAGAGATAAATTAATTAAAAGTATTCAATTTTTCTCTTATTTTTTTTTCATTTCAAGTGTTAATATTTTTTGTTGATTTATTAACCACAGCTTGTAATGTTAAAGAGTGATATTCATTTTTTTGCAAAAACAATTGGAAGTACGGTTAAATGATGTCAAAAATTAATTTCAATTTTTTCAGACTTTCAGATGACAGCTTATAGTACAGTTGAAGATGACAGCTGGTTTGAAACGGTGTATAAAGTTGTTGAATTAGAGGTCTCAGATAAGGAAACAATACACTTACTTGTTTTTTTACTTCTGCAGTTCTTATCCCGTCATGATCAAGTGAGTAACAGTTTATTTAAGCTCTTAAATTATGAAAAAGTTTATTGTAAGCATAAGGTGAAACCTTATTATATTGCAACGAAACTTTTACAGAAGAATATTTGAACGTGGCATGCACCAAGTGGAGAGCAAGTGTGTCTCTGTGAGGCAGAACTTGATAAAATTACATTTAGATAAGTAATTAACCAGTACCCTCACGTATAATAAACGATCTAACGTTAGCAGACTTTTTCATGATAAATAGTAAAGTAGGTTGAGTACTGCATCAGTAATTTACTTTCCAAAAAAAGTTTTATAAAATTATAAGCAGAATCTTAATGATTTAACCTCTCATATAACATTAAGAATAAGGACAAATACATGAGTCTTAAAGAATATGACCTGCTTAACCAATACCAGCATGTTACTTTATAGTTGGCTGCTTCGTTAGAAAAGAGGCTGACATTACAGAAAATTATTTCTATTAAAACCCTAAATAGAAGGAGTAGTTATAGGCAAAACTAGCAATAAGTCAGAAAGTAAAGGTACCTTCAATTAATACATTTCTAAAAAAAGGCGCAGCTTGTAAGTTTATCCAAGATGTTGAGTTTTGTAGGAGTAAAGTTAGGGAGCAGAAGATGTAAGTGAGTAGGCAACTAATTGATTAAGTATAAATTTTTATTTATCGGTTAAACTGCTTGGAAAGGGATACCAAATGGTAGTTGTAACTAATGATAAATATCAATCATTAGACATGACATTCCTCGCTTAAGATTTTCCTCGTAAGGTGAATTTATTCGCCATAACGCCAGCTAATGTATAACGAATGTCATTTTTGTATAATTTAAATACGATTTTTCTACGACTAATAAGCATAAGATACTATTTAATTTTTATACCATGTGCAAGTTGTAAGTTTTTCACTAACAACTGTTTTATGTTCTAAGGGTATGACAAGACACACTGTGTTCTCACGAAGCTCTCCTACAATGACAAATGATAAAGAATTTTTTTTTTATTTAATACTATTGTAATTATTATTATTATTATTATTATTATTATTATTATTATTATTATTATTAATCTTGTTATTATTACACTACTCGTTAAAACATCACACTCTAGTGGAAAAGTTAGATTTAGGTAAAGATAACGGTAGGCTGGCAGAAACAAAGAAACAAAACTTTTTTTGGACCACGATATTAAAGTGTGATTTGGGTAAAGCTGATTTACAGTGAGGGCCAACAAACATTTCTACGTGTTATTCAATGATATACCCAGATAGGTTACTCAAACTGGCATCTTGCAGTGGTGTTATCTTTTTTACCTTGGAAATAATAAATGGGGCACGGACACCAATCTTTTCAGAATCTTAGACCCATGACACCAAATTTGTACGATTGAGATAACTGTACGACATTGTAACTCTTTTTTTCTGAAGGAAATTTGTATAAAATGTTGGCATTTGATATGCTTGCTGTACTTAGTGCAGCTTGCTCTAACTTGCAAGTGTTGGACGGATCCTGTTCATTTAGTTCTTAAATTTTTTTCACTTTGCAATTCTTAAGACTATTTCTATAGTTCATAAGGATTAACTTTAAAGCGTGAGGTGCTTAATACTACGTGGTGAATATAGAAATCAATTTTGGACTGTAGTGTAGTACATTTCTTACTATGTTTTTTCTGAAGCTTTTTGAGTAGCAATTGCGAGCATTGGCTTATTTATGTAGGTGCCTAACATGGTAGATGAAGAGAGCTGAATTAATATAAGTTTCTGTACCTGGCTTTGAACGCTCGTGTGATGGAAAGTTATACACTTCACACCTTTTTAACAATGATTTCAATGAACCAAATACTCAATTCTAAAAGGTTAAATCATGGTCCGTGGATAAACAAATGCAAACGATTACGTTTTAAGGTTGTATTATTACTTATGGTAAGTTTTCAAGCAAGTGTATGCATATTCAGGGGAGAAAAATAGTTTTAATAAGTGGAAAAAAGTCTGGTTTTTTTCTGTCTTACGGTTATAGTAGTAGTTGCTTCTTTTTGTTTTTTGTCGATGTTTTAGTTCTTCATTGGTGTTAGAACTTTAGAAACTTTTTGTATTTCATGTTCGTATATTTGAAGATACACCTGGTTCCTATACTTTCTAATGTTTAATTTGTAAGGTGGTCATAACACTCGGTACACAAGTTTTATAGTGGCAATGGATAACCACATTTCTGCCACATTGTAGTCAGGCAAGTAAGATAATTGCTTGCGTGTTGTTCTCTGCATCTTTTAGGCAGTGTCACTCATAATTATCGATCCAAAAATTTTTGACAAGTTAATTCACAACACTACAGGGCGAGCTTTTAATTGGTTTTCTTGATCAACAGTTTTAGGGTCCAAGGCCTGACTTACTTGTTGGTGGGTGATTGGTGGCATTTTGTTAGAAAAATTCCACGTGGGATATTAAAGGTAAAAAAAAATGTAAGTTCAAGATACTTAAAAAAAATGAGAAAAGAATGCTTTGCCTAAATTTAGTTATTTTTTGTAATTTTCTCATTTAAATCTAGTTTAAAAGTTCAATATGGCATGAAAGGCTTACCAATTTAACCACACCTTATTTCTTAAAAAATTTAAAGTAAACTTAAGCAACTTAGGTAAGCGTTATAGCAGGAAATAATTGCATTGGTTCTTGTTAGGTTATGAGATTGTCTTTACAATTATTTAAACAGTGCACAATCTTTTCCGTACCTGTTACAATAACGGTGACACTTTTTCATAGCTATACATGGATCCAATGCTGTGAACTATTCTCAAGGGGGAAGTGTTTGAAACCTCGTGTATTTTATCTCTTTGTTTATCTGCAAACTTCTAATTTTCCTTCGGAGTAACTGTTGAGCCTTAGGATTAATGGTTAAGATTGGACTCAGTGCTACAGATACGTGTCTAGCTAATAATAGTGTGGTCTGGTATTGGTACTCACTTTTTAAAAGGTCTTTTTGTGAACACTTCGTAGACTATGATAAGAACTAAAAGGTATAGTATTATGTCCTTCAAAAATGTTATTAATGCAATGACAATATTTGCTTAAATTGTCTGATTATGTAAAATGCGTGTTTCTTGTTGAGGAGAATGTGTGCAAGTATAGTTAAAAATTCATTTCTGGATTAAATATCGTAAGGGTAAGAGGTATTATAGTTATATTTCTGCTAATTTTTTTGACAAAAACCTGTGATAGAAGACTTGTGTTTTGTTGAAAAAGCCCAATAAGAGGGGCTGATAATTTAAGCTATACATGATAGCTCATTGTAAAATAATTGTATTTATGTTTATAAGGATAAATATAATTAAAATTTTGTCATTTTTTTACTGTAAAACAGTATAGTTTAAATCCACAGGTAATAATTGGCATAATGACATGTCCATAAGAAAACATTAATCTTATTTCTATTGGTTGATTAACTAGTATACGATAATGTCACGATGTGTAATACTATTTGTATCTCTTTCATAGCAATTGCTCAGTTAGCATTAAATAGAGAATTCTTTGATGATTAAAAAAAAAGAAATAAGACGAAAATTTTCATTAACCCTTCTATTTCACTTAAGTATATGTAAGTGTTTCTGTAGTTTAAAACTTTTAGGATCTTAGAAGTACGAACTCACTCGTTTCGTGTATGCATGGCACTCTTTAAAAGATAAATAGTTTTCTGATCAGCACATGTAACTCCTACTATGACATAAGCTTTTTATATAAAATAAGCTATTAATAATTGCTTTTGCTTCTACAAAGTGTTTTTAATAACTGTTTGTATAGTGTTTCTGTCAAAAATGTTTGAGAGTGAAAATTGTCAGACCAGTTTAATGTTAACTCTTTTACTTGCAACTACTTCAATGAATACTACTAAGGGTTCAGAAAAAAATTTACTGAAGCTTTTCGATTATTATACGTCGATGTAACAATAAATACCACTATTTTCTAACGTAAGGGAGCTAGAGTACTTACGATTTTGTTTTGTATCAGGATTGTGTAAATTCAAGTTATCTTAAGTTAGAATTAACTTTGTGTTACATTTTGCACCATCGTGATAAAAAATTACACACTAAACTACAGCCGTGATATGATAAGCGGCATTATTATGTAAAGTGATGGTAACATTAGGTACACTTCTGGTTACTTTTCTTTCTTATTTGTATTGTTCTAATAGTAGATCTATGTATAGCTATTTTTTATTCAATATCAAGATAAATTTGAAATTTATGTTGTTCAACATATCTATGTTGTTACATTTAATTCTGCTAGGAAATTCTGTTGTTAAACATCTAATATTAGAAATATTTTTGGTTTCTCCATTTAAATAAACACAAAGAAGCACGCATATACTTTATCCATGTGTTTGATTGAATATGATACATGGTCCACTCCAAGTGCGTTTGGAGATTTTAACTCATTTTCTCTTTTTAGTACTTTATTTACGAATTATGTTAGAAGATTTGCATACAACAACGATTGCATGAGTCAACTTAAATGGCACGTCAAAATTATTGTCCATAAACATACTTATAGTCTGCAAAGGTGTAAGATGCTCGCAATTCTTATCTTACCCTTTAAACAAAAAAGTGGTATAACATGGTTTGAATGCGATTTCATACTCACCGTATGCATTCAAATATGGTCTTGCGCTTTAACAAATTATGTTAAAGTCTTCGAAGCTGGAAAATTTTGTGAAAAAAGTTTTTGTTTCATAGACGGGACTGTCTGGTATAACGTTATTATATTGTGTTATGTTTCTGTGTTCATGCACTTCTTTCTATTGGTCTCACGTTATTTCTCTAAAATACTTTATCTCTATTTTTAATGACTAAATTGTGTTACCCCCTGTCGCAGTGTTACTCTATTTTCTTAACCTAAGCTAGGCAATATCAGATGGATTTAAATATATAGTTGTTTAGTTTTATAAGTGACACGTGTATTCTTGTAAAGTACATAACTAGGTCCAAGATGTCCAGTTGTTCTGTACCCACTAGACAGAACGTTGTCAGACTAGTAAAAGAGTACCCTTAAATATAACCTATAATTGCCAATGCTTGGGCTAGAATTTAAACAAAGATATTGAAATATAGTAATATTTTTAAACAAACTTCTTATAAAATGTGATTTTGTAACTGTTATTAGTTTCATGCTTTTATGATTTGGCATTATTATTTTGCAGAACGTTGAACAGAAAGGACAACGAGGACACACACCATAGTCACTTACACAAAATTACGAGTACACTCTTTTGATTTAAAAAACCCCTTATACACAGGTGCACACACTCACTCCTTATCTCACACAACTCAGGTGTTACAAAAGTGGACAAGAGATAAGGAAAGCAGTAAAAGTGAGACCTAGGAATCTGAAAAAATGGCCCTTATCAAGGTGAAGTCGCATATGTTTAGCACGC